AAAAACAGACATTTGAGTGAATCTGTTAGAGTCCTAGGTAATTAGGAAATTACTGGGGGAAAGAATCCTGCTACTGTATTTCCTTTGAACCAAGATTCTATCCTACAGGATGAAGTAAATCAGCCAGGGAGGGAAGCTGTAACATAAATCAGCCGACTGTCACATGAGTCTCTTTCTTTAATGTTACAAAATTTAGGGAGAGAAACCATTCAGATTACTACAAAGAAACATTTAAAATGAGCTCATTAAATGCAAATGAAAACAGAAACATTGAATAAGCACTGGGCTACAATTAAAGGCTGAAGAAACAGTAGGTAAGAAGCAATTTTCATTGATCAAAGAACTAAAAGCTAACAGAATAAAGTATTTTGCATTAAAACTGCTCTCAGGAATATGAAGCATTTCGAAGTAAGAACTCTTTTTTTTCCTGCATTTTTCAAAAAAGCTTTGGAGGTAGGAATGGATTTACATATCTTAATACAAAGTACTTTCATTGTATCATTTTCAGGCAATGAAACTATGAGGTTTCAAAAAATGCAGACTTCAAAAATACCCTCAGAAATAGGGCCAAAATGGAAAGGACAAAGGGTCATTTTAGAGCCTTTGGACCGACTCAAGGAAAAACTATTATATAATTACATAAAATGTTCTATGCAAAACTTTATTAGAGCCTATTTTTGACACAATTTTACCTCATCATAAACAGAAGCTTTGGGGTACTTAGGCACAGAGCTGGTTTTCATCAACTTATTAAGATGGCAGGGCAAAGAGTAGTACACAGAATATTCAACTAGAAATATAAATTGAGACTTTAAAATTCACTGCACACACGCTTGAAAACAAACAGGCAGATGTATGGGCAAATGGTGAAGTCAGAATGCACATTCCTGATGGCAAGGGACTTTTTCTGCTGTGTTCCCTCGTTTCCCTGGCACCTAGAGCAGTTAAGGGTACACAGCAGGTGCTGAAATCACCGCATCTGCTTTTGTGAAACTAACGCATTATAAGGTGAAAATGGGAAGTTTTCTTCTAAATTAATTTGCAAAGTTAAAAGATGCTGTTTTTCATCTGTCAAGAGGGCAAAAATAAAAAATCTTTGATGGCACATGGGAGGAAATGGGCACCCTTATACACACTGAAAGGGAGGGCAGGGCCACCAAGGACAGTTGTGCAGCTTGTACAATGAAAGGCACTACACCTAGGGTGAGAGAGAGGTGGGGACTGGAGATCCAGGAGGTGTTCTGCTAGTGAAAGCTGAGTCAGTCTCGGGAAGGACGTCTTTTGGTAATTTTCAGGACAGAGGGGCAGGGCAGCTCTTTACTACCATGCTGTATTCGTGGAGGCTTTAGATAGGTTTGTAAAATAGGGCAACTTATTTTAGAAAAATTTTGAAATACCTAGGAAAATTTTAAATCTGCAAACTCTTTAACTCAAATTGTCATACGATTTTTATTTTACATATATGCTTACATGTGCAAGTAAAAAAGATATGTCCACAAACATTTCTGATAACAGTTGTATGTAAACCTGATGAGTGCTTATATGTTGGTAAACATTTTCATCAGTGTGTCCTATAAAACACTAGGCAGGAACTGCTGTGGAGTGAATCTGTACATGCAGATATGTAAATTCTCAAAGAGATGCTAAGTGAAACAAGGTATAGAAGAGACTATGTTCCAATGAATGGTTTTTGTCAATCAAAAATCTTCTTAAAAGTATAAGACACTGAATGTGTATTTCAATACCGACAACATTGGTGTATATATAACCAAGCACTCTAATATCTGCTGTTACTCAAATACCTAAATCCAGTTCTACAGAACATTTAGAACATACCAAAAATATCACCACTAACATTCCATTTTAAATACAAAGAACTGATCATTTTTTAAAAAGTCAAAATATATTTTTAACAGAGATACCAAAAATTACACTTTTCTACTTTGAATTCTTTTAAGCTTTTCTATTCTGCTTTATATTATCTTGAAGTCCTTCTCCACATCTTCCAAAAAGGCACAATTTTTAACCAACTTCAATTAAATTATGTTTCCATAGCTGCCCAGGTCAGGGCATTCAACATATCAATCGCAATCCAGGTGGGAAATGTAAGGACTTATGAAACAGTCCTCATCCCAAGAAGGGATTCTTTGGTTTTGAGAAAGTAAAAGGAAGGTACATTCCATTAGCAGTTAGGTGCCAGTCAGTCCTGTTTACTCCTCTTCTACCAGGAAACCCATCTTTACGTTTCTCCAACTGGCAGAATATTATTTGCATTAAGGTTGGGGCGGGAAATTAAAGAAAAATAAAATTAAAAAGAAATAAGTTTTCCTGTTTTAGGCTAACTTGTCCCAGAGGCAGCAACAGGCACAGCCCAGATCCAGGAAGAGTCTTGATAATATTATCGAATGTACTCTGGAGACTCTCCCAGCACTCCCTCAACACAGGGAGAAGAAAAACAAATTTTCCTTTGTTTTATGGAATGAGTTTATAGACTCTTGTTCTCTGTAACTAGTGATTTCAAGTATTCTGTTTCATCTAAGAAGTACAACGAAGGTCACGAGAAGCCTGAGTAGGCCTGAACTACAGCTGCCTGGGCACCATAGTGAAGGTTATAGGATAAGCCTGTGCCCAGGGAAACCTAGATAACGAACATCTGGGTTGCTTGGCAATGGTCATGTGCAGTCCTGTCTTTGTCCTGCCTCTGTATCCCTGCTTTGACACCACTGTAAGTTTGCTTCAAGCTAGCCCACCTCCTTTTGTGAAGTATGTATAAAAGTCAAGTACTGTCTTTATTCTGGGCCCAGTCTTTTGCATGTGAGTCAGCTGGGCCTGAGTGTACTCAATAAAGATTCTCCTGTTTCAACCTGAGGTCTCTCTCGTCCTCCTGAGTCCCGCAACAAGGTGAGTGTAACAGAGAAAGCATAGGCCTGAAAGGAGCAAGCTTTGAGAAGCTCTCTTAACTTTAACAGAAAATCCCAGATACATACTATTTACATTTTGATCTCCAACTGATCACTGGATAAAATCTATAATGTCTTTCCTGGCTCTGAATTTTTGTCACAAAAACACAAAACCCATCACTCCAAGGCTTCCTTTTAAAGGTTTTCACTTTCACCTACCTTTAGCACTGTTCACCACACCCAAATCTCAAACTGGCCATTCAGATGTTTACTGAAATGTGGCTAATGAGGCTGGGCATGGTGGCTTACGCCTGTAATCCCAGATCTTAAGTGCCTGTCTTCATATAGCTTTACAATAAATTTGTTTCTCTTAAAATTATCTGTGCACTAGATTAAGTTAAATTAAAATAAAATGTATTTAACTGTCTTCAAAATAAGGTATAGGCTATTTTCTTCCTGTAGACTACTGATAGCACGGCTTTTGGAAAATCTCTTCTACTTGGTTTTCTGATTCAGTTCAGACTTGTGCTTACAAGTGAATCTTACGTAAATGTCACCTAAAAAGAGCTCAAGAAAACTCAAAAAATTTTAACTTTTTCATAATTTGGTTAACTTTCAAGTCATTCACCAAAAGTCAGACCATGCTAGAAAGGGAAGAAAGGTTGGACAACATTCTTGTTTTACCACAGAGACAAAGACAATGCCATTTAGCTGGCTTGATTCTCCCACTGATGGGCAGAATGTTTACATTTTAACAATAACTTCATAAATAAAAACAGATGTAGTACGTGTTTTCAGTGCATAAAGATCATATATTTTATGAATCCACCTCTCACCTTTCTTCTGGACAGACCACATCTGACTTCGAACGTACTTACTGCAATCAAAAGTGTTTTGTAAGGGACGCTCCTCAGGAATTAGCCCTAAACAAGCTCACTAAAACCTCCATACATAACCTGGAGAAACTTCCACAATAATGAAACCCCACATAACACTGGCTTCTAAACATATGGTGCATTTCCATTCATTTTTAGGGACAGCCCCTAAAGTAGTTTTTGGTTCAACAACCCCAAGAGGACCTTTGCACCTTTGCTCATCTTACACATCAACTGTTCATGAACAACTCTGATGCCACTAAGGTTTGTTCACAAAATTGCACCTCGGTCATTGTGTTTTACCAAAAAAAAAAAAAAAAAAGTTATTTTGCAAAAGGCAGTAGATGTAATCTTGGCTATTATTTACTCTCAATTTTTCTTTCACCTCAGCCCTCCAACGAGAAGTTTAAAAGGAAACATCCGAGGGAGCAAGAAGTTTAGATTCATCTGGAGGAGTTTCTGTGGCGCCCAGCCACCCTCACCAGGTGCCTTTCATTAGAGTTTAATGCTTTGCTGGGGTTTCCTGAAAGAGCCCCACAGAGAGTGGGTCCTGAACCGCACGACAACCGGCCAGGGCCGCGAGGGCGAGGGGCGGCGGCGGGGCGAAGGCTTCGGGACCCTACACGGTCCGGGGGACCGCGAGCAAGGGCCGGGGGTGCGGGGCCGCCTGGCGTCCCCGGTGAGGCGGTCTTCACGGGAACGCTCAGAGCAGGGGCGGGCGGGCGAGGGCTTGGAACGCACACACTGGGGCCCCGGGCCCGCGTCGCTGAGCTGGAGAGCCCGGCGGTGCGGGTCGGGGACGGCATGGGCACTTTGGCCCCGTCACTGACAGTTGGCACCTGGGGTCCAGGTCGGCCGAGGCCACACCGGGGCGCAGGGCGGCGCAGAGAGGCTGTACCTGGCAGGTACCCACGTACCTATCATGGTCACTGGGCAGGTGGCGGCTGCGGGCCAGGACAGGGCCTACGCGCGCACCGGCGCCAGCCCGCGCCTCCCACCAGCGGCTCTCCTGGGTTAAATCTTCCAGGGCTCCCCGCCCCGGCGCCGGGCCCTAGGAATGCGCATGCGCGGAGGGTACGCGGCCCAGGGCCTGCTGGGAGTCGTAGTTTTAGTGCGTAGTTTCTCCTCACGCCTCCTGCCCTCCAGCTCTCCGCCGCCTCCCTTTCCGGCTTCAGGCCCAGCAATCGTACGTCACCGGGGGGCGGAGCTATGCGCCCGCAGTGTTGACCAGTCGCTTAGCAACCGGGAGGCTTACCTTTGGAAGCTTGTTGCAGCTCTAGCTACGGTCCTGCTCTCTTCCCGCCCCACCCCTCCCCTAAACTCCCTTCACCTAGGAGCTGCCAAACATCTGGATCAACCTGGGCACTACGAGGGGTTGAATTTCCACCATTAACGCGCCTTTTGACATTTTTTTTCCCGACCTCCTGCTCACATCCGTAAAACCCACTGATTCTTTTACTACACTTTTTATGAGAACAAGACATTTTCAAGGAAGATGGTGGCAGAAAAAGAGACCCTGAGCTTAAACAAATGCCCAGACAAGATGCCGAAGAGGACCAAGCTGCTGGCACAACAGCCGCTCCCGGTGCATCAGCCTCACTCCCTGGTTTCTGAGGGCTTCACAGTCAAAGCCATGATGAAAAACTCAGTCGTAAGTGATCTTCCTGAATTGAATGCACTCGCTCCGTATCAGGGGACACGAGATTTACAGAGGTTGGCCAGCCCTAGGATGGACTCTGAGCCCATGTCCTGGGTGGTCTTTGCCAAAAATGGCAATTACTTGGCAAGTAGCAGACGGTCCCCCACAGTGTGTGGGGGGCAGGCTAGGTTGTTAGAATCCTGGGCAAATGATATACTCTGCCCATTGATAAGCACCTTCCTGATAACTCATCGTTTCTAAACCGCCCAAAATTACTCTTACGCTATTTACACGAGGTAAAAAGATCCCCTTTAATTACTGATTGCTAACTAACCCCACTCAGCAAAGGGCCTTACAGAAGATGAGTTCTTAGAAATCATAAACTCTTGCAAAATTTAACATGAGCTGATATACAACTGGGAACATAAACTCATTAAATAATCTATAATGAGAAATTTTGGAATATCCTAGCAGTTACTCTAACAACACTTGTCTCTTAGAAAATGATGTCATCTTGTTATAGTACTGAAAGCCCACTTAATATGAACACTGTTTCCTGACAGGCCTTTTAAGATGATGTGCTTTAAACAATACAAGCTTTAGCTCATGTGTCTCTGCTACTAATACAATTCATATTTCATCTGCATTATTTGTAGTAACAAAAATAAAATATTCTAAGTATCATTAGAGAAAAAAAGATTAAAAATACATACAAATATTTTAGCTGTCTGCATGATAGTATATATTTTTTAAACCTTCCTATTTGTTAAATAGCTTTACACTTGGTATGCTAAGGCAGATTTTGCTACTGAGTAAGCACCTGTCTGGGAATGAGGCATTAAATAATAAATGCAGCTTTCAAATTCATATAATTTACATCCTGGGAAGATCTGAGTTATTACATGTGGCAATTCATTATGTTAAATGAGTAATGTTGTTTTCCAGTGTCACATTATTTCCTTTGCTTATATGTTGTAAACCTAATAACTTATTCCTAAACGACATACTTAAAATACATGAATGAAACAGATTACCTATAGACCTCTAGGCCAGGTTCCCATGTGGTTATGCAAAATGGTATCCTAATTATTGGGAAGTGTGTCAGGTGATTTACAGTAGTTAAAATTCTTGGAAATAGACTAAAATTCTGCTTGTTGTAACTAATTCTTTTTCATGGAATTTCACAAAAATTGGTTCTCCTAGGAGTCAAGATGATGCATTTATCAGCAATACCATAACCATTCAAGTTAATAATTTAGTTTTTCTTCTACACAATATTTATAATTTTGGTGTTTTTTAATGTTATAATTTAATATCACAATTTTTTTTTTACTGATCAGGGTTCTTTTCTGTTTTTTCCTAAACTTGTGTTCATAATTCTTGTATCATGTTAATTCTTTAATATAATGCTACGCCTAAAGAGATAGTTCTGCAAAATCTAATGTTTCTATATTGCCAGATGTAGTAAATACGCCTACATGACTTAAAAAAAACCACATTGATTATGAAGCAGGCTTCTTTATAAACAACTTATTTGTGATACATAATCTTATCTTTTTATATTCTAAAGGAAAATCTTGTGCTAGCAATACCTCTCTTGCCATTGGAAATCATAATTCTTAAATGCAAAGATTATTTATCCATTTGTCTACTTATTCAGTCAACAACTCTCTCTCTCTCTCTCTTTTTTTTAATACCCAATACTTGTTAAGCACAGTCCTGGGGATTTGGGATCAGCAAAGCAAAGTCCCTGCCCTTCGTACTCCAAGGTAAACCAAAATAACAGCATTCACATCTTGATAAAAGAAAGCTAGACAATACTGTTTATACAAAATCACTTCAGTGGTACAGGAAATAAAAAGTTTCCATTTCATAACCCATATTTACATTTCACCATTTTTATCTTTAGCAGTATAGACTTCTCAGCATTATAAGATCAAAATATCCTCATCTCTTTCTGAAGGTATATTTCGATTCAGGATATATATGACAATTTCCAGCTTTTCTTAATTGCGACCTCATGCTCCAAAGGCCAATACCCTCCAAACCACTTTTCCAGTTAGATAAGTCACCATTCCAATGCTCTTCCACTTAAAACATGAAGAATTATATATATCCTAAGGAGTTACACAGAGACTCCTGATATTTCTTTGAGTGCAATAGTGATACAAGTACATAAACTTGATCATAAATATGTTTCATCAAATGGTCTGTGCAAGCAGAAATGCTTATTTAAACAGTCAGTCTGGATATGAGAGCGCAAAATTATTGAAAAATAATGATAAATGTAAATGGCAAAATTTTTAAAATCTCAATGTCAAATATTGTTCTTCAATAGAAAGTAGACTTTGTTTCCATGAAATTTTTGTTGCATTCTATAAGAAAACAAGCATCACAAAAGCCCTGCCATCAAATAATATTCAAATTCACATTTTTATAGTGCTTGCCTATAAAGAGATGTAAGAGATACACAATTTGAAGATTTCATAATTCATTTTCCTTTTAAAGGCCTTATTTGGGTTGCAATAGAGCCTATGACCAGAAACTATTAACCAAGCATTTTGTTGTCTTCATCTTGTCAGATGCTTTCTGTGCTGAACATGCTTATCGTGAAGCAAATTAGAAAATTGACCCAGGTTTATGGTGACAGGGAAGTTGAGTTTAACCTAAGCTTTCTATTACAGCTTTCCTTCTCAATAGACTATAGATGCTTTATGCTCAAAGTTTAGGGGAATGAAATAAATATATTTTTTTAATATTAAAGGTTGAGTATTCCTATTCCAACAGTCTGAAACCTGAAGTGGTCCAAAATACAAAACTTTTTGAGTGCTGACATTACACTCAAAGAAAACTCTCCTTTCGAGCATTTTGGATTTCAGATTTTTGGAATTGGCATGACCACCAGTGTATAATACAGTTATAGTCAGCTCTTTGTACAGATTCTGCCTCCATGGATTCAATTAACCTCGGATTGAAATGTTTGGGACAAAAATTTTATCTGTATTGAACATGTACAGCCTTTTTTTTTTTTAGTCATTATTCCCTGTTAAACAATAGAGCATAGCAGCTATTTATATAGAGTTTATATTGTTTTAGATACTATAAGTAATATAGACATGATTTAAAGTATATGCATGGAAATGTGTAGGTTATATACAAATACTATGCCATGTTATATCAGGGACTTGAGCATCTGCAGATTTTGATATCTGCAGGAGGTCCTGGAAGTAATTCCTCATGGAGACTGAGGGACGACTGTATTCCAAATCTGAACAAAAAACAAAAACCAATCCAGAACACTTCTGGTTCCAAGCATTTCAGATAAGGGATAGTTCAAGCTGTACTTTACATGTATAGTGTGTCCAATCATGTACTCATTTAACATGTAGTGGTAATCATCAATATTTATACATTATATATGAAGATATTAATTTGGCTGCTGTAACAGAGACCAAATAACAATAGCTTAATTAAGATGGAAGTCGTTTCTCTCATAATAGAAGTTCAAGTTTGTAGGTAATCCCAGGAGGTTGGTCAGTATTTCCCCGTGAGGCGGGTGCAGGGGCATAGGAGCATGTTTGTTCTTTGTATCTTGTAAAATGACACCTGAGACAAGGTGGGCTCGAGACCACTAGGGTCAAATACCTGCCCTCAAGAAGGAGGAAAGTGGAAGCAGAGAGCTTCCCATTATGGACATGACCCGGACACAGCACTCCACTTTCATTGTCATCCAACTGGCCAGAACCTAGTAATACACCTACATTTTGCCGTTTTGCAAAATCCTGTGAAAGCTTGACCCATGAAGTAACACCCAAGCCCACATACCTGTCTCCTCAGGAAAAGGATGAAGGAAGCTATGGAGTTCCAAAAGGGCATCATCTCCAACACCTACTTCAGGTGGGGGAGAGAAAAATGGGTATGGAGCAATCTGCAAGAATGAGGCAAGAAGAACTGAAGAGCAAACAGCTTCATTATGAAGGCATGTCCCAGAAACAGCAATCCTCACTCCTGCTCAAATCCTGCCAAAACCTAGTCTTATGGCCACAGCTGGTTGCAAGAGAGACTGCGACATGTAGTCTTTAACTGGTAGCTCTGTGTCCAGCTCAAACTTGCAATGTTTTATTACTGTAGCCAAGGGATATTGGGGGATAATTAGAAGTGTCTAACCCCAGTGCTAAATGTGCTACATTATTGGTGAAGAAAAGGAGAGAGACAAGTAAAATAATTACAATACAAATAAGCAGGTGTCTCCAGTAGAGAAGTACTAATGATGAAGGGACCAAGTGGCGATAAACTAATGGGGACCCTCATCACCTTTTGTCTAGGTTTGTACAATATCATCCACCCATCAATTGGTTGACTCCCTCAATCAATTATCGGTACAATTACACTAATCTTTCCAGTACAATGTTCTGCTCCTATCACTATTCAGAGCTTTTGGAGCTTCCCAATTCTTATAGAAAAAAGGCATGATACTTCCCCAGGGCCAGCAAGATCTTCTGTGATCTAATCCCATTCTACGCTTTTAAATTTCATCTCCCACTGTTCTCGTTTACTTCAGTCAATCTGAACCCAGGAAGTAAATCGGATTCTTTATTTTTGTGTTTCTGTTTATGTTGTTCCCTTTGCTCGAACACCCTTCTCCCTACATATCTGCATATACAAATTCATTCTTGTATATCTGCATATACAAATTCATTCGTCAGGTAACACATATCTATTGATCACAGACTATGTGCAAAGCACTGTTTTAAATGCTAGGAATTTAGCAGTCAGCAAAAAACAGAACACATGCTGTCAAGAAGCTTATATTTTTATGGCCAGCAAAATGCCAGCTGCTTTAAGAAGACTTCTTTCGTTCTCCCTTCCTGTCACCCACATAGAAAGTTATCCTTTATTCATTGTGTTCTACTTTATATTATGGTCATTTCTGCTCATGTTTTATCTCCTTATGTAAATTCTCTGTGAGGGCAGTATCCACATCTAAGTCATTTTTTAATCTTAACCAGAAC